TAACACTTGTCATCGTGTAATTGTTTAGCTTTTTATTTACTTATGTTTTAATTATTTTTATCAATGATATTAGTATAATAAACGTGAGGTACTCTTGGAAGATATTTATCCACTAATGATGCTCTTAATGTGGCATAATCAATTTTGTAGCAATTTCCTAGTTGCAGGTTCAAACACTACTACTTTGATAATAGTTCTCCTAGAATAATTGCTTTGGTATATTTTTGTTGTTGTTTTCCTCCAAAGGTAAAAAGACTAATTGCAACAGATATAGTTTTAAAATTTCAACAGAAATACGTATCCTACAAAAACCATTTAGAAATTTTAGACGCAGAGAGGACGATGAAACAACTACGACTATAGAACCGTTTAAGAGTCATGAACTAACAGATTAGTGTTTTCAATCTTTAATAACTATTAGTAGACTGAGATTAATGATAGATGTATTTACATATATTTTCAAAAGATAATATATTTGGAGAAGAACCTTCTAGATGAGTGTAGTTGTCGTCTCAATAATTGCGATAAAAGTTTTGTGGTGAGACGTATATTGACGTGTTCAGGGAGGGAAGCAACCAAAAACGAACGTAAACTCTCCTCCCTATAAATTTAGGGAAAAACAAATTTGATGGACCACGAAAACGATGAGTAACATAGTTCATTGGCTTTTAACTCCTATTTCAAAGTCCTCGACCATACGCAGGGAAAAACAGTTCCCACCTTTATCGTTTGTGGATGATGTGAGGTTCGTATCTTCTTTTAAGTTTTAAGATGTTTGACACCACATGAGAAATTAAGATGAATAATCTATTTAAAGAAAATAATGCATGTGGCTCTGTACAAGTTCGGACAATATACACGAAAATGACATGTATAAATCAACAACTCTAGATTATACCAAATAAAACGGATTGACCACTAGACAAGTACAATTCATATACCTTACAGACTTAAAATTATGAGCTATATCAATCTTAATTAATTATGATATTTTCACGTTCTAGTATGCAATATCTCTCGACCAGAAAAATTATGATATAAGAAGTGAATTGGTTGATGAAGATTATCGTCACCTTACTGGTAACTTATGTACTTGCAAATTACTCTACCATACATTACTTTACAGTCAGTGAGCTTAGTCATCCTTGAAAATCAATCTGTGTTTTTCTTGGCACTTTGCTCATTTATTGGAAGCAAAAAACGTCAAGTTGTTGCCAAGAATTCCACCAAAGGAGAATATCGAAATCTCTTCGTTGTCTCTGATGATATAGAATGACTTGCAATTTTCGTTAACGAATTAGGTTTGCCTCTCACTAAGCATACACTGCTTTTCTGTTATACGTTGATGCAATACAGTGTAACAGTCCGACTGCTCGTGGCTAATAGGTCGTCTCCCACGCCCACTCATTCACCTCGTGAATCTTATCCTGTGCGACGTGCGGCACGTTAATTTTATGAAAATTCGAAATCCTTAATTATTGTGTTTACAATTACCAAATGATCTTTCTATGACTTCCTTTTACACGTTATCGAAAATCATTTTCTGATAGGTTATTCATCTTTTTACTATTTCAGATAAAACACTAAGTCTGAAATTTTAAATGTATGTGTGACCAAAAAATGTAAATACATTTTGATGATATAAATAAATAAATCAATTATTTTAATAATTTTCATATACTATTAGTAGTGGTCTTGGGCATAACATTAGAAGCATCTAATTCCGACCGTAAATAAGAAGTAAACTTTTCGACTTATTTCTAAATTGTGTCTGTAGCTTATATAGTTAAACTAGCAAGCAATTGACCCGAAGGTAACAAGTTCAACACTGCTTGGCGGCTTTTTAATTTTTTGTAGGGATTTTCAAGACCGAGTCTGTATACCATAAACCGGGATACTGGATACACATTGTCTATAACTCATGCTTTCATGAACGCTTTGAAAGTAATTATCGGGAACTATTGTAGTTGCAAGATTCTCTAAATTGTTACGTGTGAGAACAAATCTGTAGTTGGATTATGCTGTTACATAGCCTCTATATCCAACACCTTTTCGAAGATTATAATAAGCAATATATATATATCCACCCTATTTTTTTTTTAAGAGTGATTTAGTGAACTACCCATAAATAAAGCTCAAATTAGCAAAATACCATTGATTGGACATAAAGGACACTGACACAACCATTTGACAAGAAAATGCCGAGAATGCCTTTTCTCTTTCCTCTCATTAACACGAAGCGTAAAAACATTTGTTAACATATAACACTTCTGTTAACGTCTACAATATTTGTTAACAGCCAAAACATTTATTACCGTGAAGTGTAAAAATAATTGTTAACAGTTAACACTTCTGTTAACGTTTACAATATTTGTTAACAGCGAACACATTTATTAACGCGAAGGGTAAAAATAATTGTTAACAACTAACACTTCTGTTAACGTCTACAATATTTGTTAACCGGTAACACGCCGTCGAATCTAAAACCCAGAAAATTGATATCATCAAAAAATTGAGAGAGAGAGAGAGAGAGAGAGAGAGAGAGAGAGAGAGAGAGAGAGAGAGAGAGAGAGAGAGAGAGAGAGAGAGAGAGAGAGAGAGAGAGAGAGAGA